AACTAGTATATATATATAAACATTACAATATTAATATATTATAAGCAAATAAATAATTATATGTTATAAGCATTCATATATCTACAATAACCATAAGACATTTTTTTATTTGTAAGCATAAATGAAATACTATTTACATATTGATTTTAATAACTGTATTTTAATTTCTATATTTTATTCGTTTAATCTGAACGTATAGAAGATAATACTTGAAATACTTAAAAATCTAAGCAAAGTGTTCATTGTTAACAAATTTTATGATGGCTGGACTCTAAATTGCAACTTTAATTTTCATATATTCGATCCTGACGTTTCTTTATTTAGTTCCCAGTAAGTCACGATAAAGAAGAAATAAAGCAAATAAAATATGTACATTTTTGGTCTCGCATGATTACAATTTAAATTTTACAGATGTTAACAGTGAAACAAAATGTTTAAATTGCAAAAATTTGAAAAAATGCAAAACTCCTGCAAATTCTTTAATAATCGCTGAGACCGAAGACAAGCCACTTGTAGTTGACAAAACAGAAAGTGATCCAGCTAACGCAGAATTGAATGTATGTCTTGGCCCACACAAAAAAGTAGTCGGTAACTGCGCATTTCATTCCCATATTAGAAGAAATTTCTTTTATTGTATGCATTTGTATTTTAGGTACTTTAAGTGGTGTTGTATGCAGTGGTGGGGCAGACGGTGTCTATCACGCAATTGCATCGAAAACAGTTTTAATGTATGACGAAACTACATATTGCTTTATGTGCGAGATAATGTGCCGTTGCAAGGGAACTGTTCTAAGAGAAATCGCTATACTTGTAGCAATATGTCTAGCAGCATTTTACATTCTGGTATAACAGTTTTTTAACAGCAATTTGTGGACTATACTCATCTGCTACTGAGTATGGTGCTTAATAATTTCAAATATGTAAGCCATTTTAAGATGACCTGAAAATTATACAAATTATATTAAAATTGAAAAAATTAATTAAAGTTTGACTTAATATTCTGAAATATCTTAGCCAGAGCTCGGTAGTTATCATGYGAGCTCGTTGAGTTTAGTTGAAGGAGTTCACAGGTGGCGTCACAAAACCGTCCCCGGCAGGTGCAAGGCAGCGGTGACTGTAGAGATAAATTGCCAGTCAAGCTGTTTGCTTTAATTAAAATTTTTACTGAAAAAAAAAAAAAAAAAATTAACCATATACATGTTTATCGTAAAG